CAGCAATCAGTTGTCAATATTCCTTTAGATAAGATTGGGGTCTGCTGTTCATTTTCCCAGTTCTGTGCTGGGTTACTGTATGGGAGTCTCCCGCACCACCTTGGCCAATAACTCAAAGGGAAGGTATTACCTGTCTGGCATTGTTTCTTGTTATGTAGCCTTTAGCTATACATATGGACTCTTAAAAATTATATTGACCCCATTAATCTTTGGTTATACTTTCCTTTTGGGTGTTTAAGACCCTACAGTTGGCCCAGACTACTGTCTTTTTTTCTTATTAAAGATTTTATGGTTTGATTTTATTCTTTGATATTAGGGAGTTTTTTTTTTTTTTTTTAAGTCTTTTTGAAACAGGTTCTCCCTGTAGCCCTAGGCTGTCCTGGAACTCACTTTGTAGACCAGGCTGGCCTTGAACTTACAGAGATCTGCCTGCCTCTGCCTCCCGAGTGCTGGGATTAAAGGCATGCGCCACCATGCCCGGTTTGGGGAGAATATTTTTATCACCTCTGAAGTTACTAGAAAGATAATTCTTGTTATATCTTCCTTTGTCACTGTGGAATGCGCGTGCATGTGTGTTCATGTAGGTGTTTGTGTGCAGGCACCAAAGGTTAACCTCAGGTATTGTTCCTCAGGAACTGACCATCTTGTATTTTGAGAGAGTCTCATTTGGCCTGGAGTTCACCACTTAGGCTAGGCTAGCTGGCCATTGAGCCCCAGAATCCACCTTCTCTGCCTACCCAGTGCTGAGATTCCAAGCTTGTTCACCACACTGGGCTTTTTCTTTTATGTGAGTTCTGGGGATCAAACTCAGGTCTCTATGCTTTTGTGGCAAGCACTTTACCAACTAAGCTATTTCCCCAGCCTAGGAACACTTTGTTTTTTTTTAAAAAATATTTTTATTTTATGTGTATGAGTGTGTTGCCTGCTTATATGTAAATACACCCATATCATGCAGTGTCTGCCTGCGGAGGTCAGAAGAGGGTATCGGATACCCTGGAACTGGAATTATGGACGGTTGCTAACTACTATGTGGGTGTTGGGAATCAAACCTGGGTCCTCTGCAGGAGCAGCCAGTGCTCTCAGCTGCTGAGCCATCTCTCTAGCTCCCAAGGAACAGTGTTTTTAATTGAATTTGAATACTATTCTGAAAAGTTTGAAGTGTTTTACTTTTGATTTTAGAGAATCTTTGTGTTTTTATGAGATAGGATTTTGCTATATAGCACTGGCTGACTTGAACCTCCCTATGTAGACCAAGCTGGCCACAAACTGGGGACCATCCTCCTCTCTTATCTCCCATGTATTGGGATTATAGGCCTGCCTGCTCATCCATCACCTCCATGCCTGGCTGTCATGCTGGGTTTTTTTTTTAATTTTTGTTCAATTATTTTTATGTGTATGAGTGTTTTGCCTGTATGTATATTAAATGTACCACATGCATCCAGTACCCTCAGAGGCCAGAAGAAGGTGCCGGATCCCCCTGGTACTGGAGTTACAGATGGTTGTTAGTCACCATGTGGGTGCTGGGAACTGAACTCTAGTCCTGTGCAAGAGCTGCAAATGCCCTTAACTGCTGAGCTGTCTCTCCAGCATCCTGGGTTTTGTTTTGTTTTGTTTTGTTTTAATTTTTAAAATGTTATGTGTATGAGTGTTACACTTGCATGTAAGTACACGTTATGCAATGCCCACGGAGGACAGAAGAGGGCATGAGGTCCCCTGGAAGTATGGATGGTTGTTAGTCGCCATGTGGCTGCTAAGATATGGACCCAGGTCTTTTGCAAGAGCAGCCAGTGCTCTTAACCTCTGAGCTATCTCTCTCTAGCTCCCTCCAGCATCCTGTTTTTAAAGTTGTATCTTGGCAACAGTGCATATCTGAAACTATTAATGATCTCATGAAAACAGAAAACTCTAGATGACTAGTAGAAATGTGATTTGTTATGCACATTGTCTACTATAAATATAAGCTATAGTATTTATGTGCATATATGTATACGTGTACAAATGTATACAGATATAGTATATACATGACCTTGTCCATTATCTGAATCATAGTTACTGAACAAATACAACCAATTATTTTTCTTTTTATCAATTTTATATTCAATTTCCCTATTTTACAAAATTAGGTTAAACACAACTCTGGGAGTCATGTGAATTCTAGAAGTTCTGGCTTGATAATTTTATGATGTTTTATAAATCTCTTTAGTTGCCCTAAGTCCTGATTTGTAAGCTGTTTGAGATGAGGTGATCTTAAGGTTCTGTATCAGTTCTAAGACTGTCAGTTCTTTCTGTGGGTAAGTTTGCTAGTACTCTGATATGGGGAAAAAAATTGAGAATTTGAGGGATAGGGTTATGATGTATGGGTTCAATATCATAGTGTCTAGTGATAAAATAAAATTTCCCTTTGGATACTGGAAATGGTATACATGGATCTTTAGGTAATGGTAACAGAGCTCTGAAATGGTGAGGGTAATAGTCATGCTGTTAGATCTACATTGGACTGAGAACTTGTGTGACAGCACACTGTTCAGATGAGTTCTTGGGGTAGGACTGTATTACAGGCCCAGGTAAATAAGGAATTATCATTGAGTAGGACTGAGTTTGAGTTTAAGAACCAAGCAAAGGACCAAGCATTTCCTCTGAAGAATCTTGGGGGATTTAGTGAATCTGCATGTAAGGAACATAAACAGCAACAGCTGGCAAAGCCTTCATAGAGCTAAGGAATCAATACATCTTAAAATTGATTATATTTTGGAAATGTCTTAGTAACAAGAGGAAGCAAAGTGTCACACCTGGGTGGACTAGGAACCAGAGAGCAGAAACCAGCAAATTAAAAAAAAGTGCTTTGGTACTATAGATCTTTTCACAGTCCCCTATCTTTGTTTTCCCTTTGGAGATTTTTCCCTCCACTGCTAAGGGCAGTGATTTCTCCCTGTTGGATTATGGAGTGGCAGACTTAGTTAAATACAGAGCTGCAATTGCAGTCGCAGTGGTCCCTAGTTGGTGCGCTTAGGGAGCACAGTATGTTTTCTTATTTCTTGTTTTGCAGTTAGTAGTATTAGATAAAGGAAAGGACTCTAGGGAAAAGGGCAGGAAAGATGGGAGCTTCGCTGTGCATTTGTATGCCACTCAGAGGAGAGATGGGGAGAGATACTGCTTATATGAGATAGATCTCATATTTCTTGGGAATTTTGTTTGTTTTGGAACAGGGTCTCATGCAAGTAGCTCAGTGGTCTTGAATGCTTGATCCTCCTGCTGCCACATCCCAAGTGCAGTGATTGCAGATGTGTACCATCATACCTGGCTTAAGCAAATTCTTTTATTGCTTAGTCTTTTTGTTTTTAATTGTTTTTACTTTGTGTATGTGTGTACTGCCTACATGTCGGTAAGTGCACCCGTGTCATGCAGTGCCCGCAGAGGTCAGAAGAGGCTGTCGGATCCCCTGGAACTGGAATTATGGACAGTTGTTAGCTTCCATGTGGGTGCTGGGATTCGAACCCATGTCTTCTGCAAGAACAACCAGTGTTCTTAACCACTGAGCCATCTGTCCAGCCCAATTGCTTAGTCTTTTAAGATATTGATGTATTTTATAAGAGTCTTAATATATTGTTGGCCTGTTTTGTTTCTGTGGAAAACTCTGCAGAATCATTTAGAAAATGTTGGTTAAGAGAAGCTTGAGAATTTTAATTCTCATTCTTCCTTTTATCTAGATCCTATTCCCCCTGGTCTCATGGAAGAATGCTTGGATTGTGATGTGGAGGTTAAAGCTGCTATGCATACATACAGCTTACCAAGTCTGCCTACCCAGTCCTCTAAAAAGCAAATTAAAAAACTAGAGCGAGCCTTCCAAACTCAGAAAGCTCATGATAACCAAATGACTTCTAGAAATACTGTGTCTGCATTATCAGCCAAATCAAAAAATAATATTAAACAAAAACTTCCCATGAAAAGCCACTCAGAGTGTGGGATCACAGAACAAGCAGTTTCACCCAAAGAATTGGGCTGTACCATACAATCGGAAGACCAAGTGAAGAATTCTGTTCAGACCCCTGTTGAGGACTCCACCGTCAACCAGCACCAGGCCAAAGAAGTGCTGCCTGCTTCACTCCCTAAAATTCCATGTCTGTCTTCGTTTAAAATCCATCAGCCATGCACTTTGACTTTTGCAGAGCTGGTGGAGGATTATGAACACTATATTAAAGAGGGGTTAGAGAAACCTGTGGAAATTATCAGGCACTACACAGGTCCTGGGGATCAGACTGTGAATCCTCAGAATGGTTTTGTGAGAAATAAGGTTTCTGAAGATAGAGCACAGATACTGGCTAGTAGTAGCCAGTCTGGAGACTCAGAAAATGATAGTGATTCTTGCAGCTCAAGGACTTCTTCCCAGAGCAAAGGCAATAAGTGTTTCTTGGAAGGCTCTTCTGATACTCAGTTCAAAGACTCTGAATGTATGCCTGTGGATGGCCACATCTCTTTGGAACGGCCTCTGAATGGGAATGACATCCCTACTCCAAGGGAATATGAAGAATCTCCTAAAATCCAGGTAAAGGCAAGGCCTAAAGAGGGATCTAACCAAAGATCTAAGCAGAGCCGGAGAAACCCAAGACGCTCCTCATACAGAGTACAGACAGAACCTCAGGAAGAGGGCTGGTATAACTGCCACAAGGAAACAAATCCGAGTTTTTCTGATACCTACCAGGATTATGAGGAGTACTGGAGAGCTTATTACCAGGCATGGCAGGAATATTATGCTGCAGCGTCTCAGTCATACTATTGGAATGTGCAGAGACATCCGAGCTGGATGACTGCTTATCATATGAATACAGTTTATCTACAAGAAATGATGCGTGGTAACCAGTGATTTTAGGATGGACCTGAGATGATCAGAACTTGGTGTTCTTCATTTAGGGTGGAGTGGTGTATAATAGCATTTTTTGAGGAACTTGAGACCTGAAACTCTACTGGGATGCAACTGTTTTTCATATTATTTTGACTTGGTTCAGGCATAGTACCCCCTTTTATTCCCCAATTTTATCAGATTTGCAAAAGGGAATTTTGGGGATGTAGATCTAAAGACCCTAAGGTGCCACTTTCTGTAAGCTGTTCCCAAAAGAAACCTTTAAAAGATGACATGTATACCACTCTTTAAAAAATAAATAAGATTTGAAAGTAATGGTAGTTTTATCTGGAGTCCTTTATGAAAGGATTGTGTTCCATATTTCTGTATTCTTGTGGAAATTTGTATCATGATAGATACCTTTTAAGGTTAGGCAGGAAGGGATATTTAAAGTTATCTTCAGATTTTTCCAATGGTACTTGATGTGATATTTGCTTCCAGTAAAAATTTTGTTACCAATAAAAACATTTAGCTGAGTGTGTTGACATGTTTATTGTTCATCTTAATAATTTTCTTGATGTGAAAGCTGCCCACATTTTTGCTATGAATTAATAGGTAACACTTGTTGGTGGCTGTCTTGTTGCTCATGTAAAGGAGCAGCTCTTAATCTTTGTTGGTTCTTGGATTCTTTTATGGATCTGTAAAAGCTGTAGGTTGATCCCAGAAAATTTCTCATTCCATAAATAGATTATGAATTCAAAGGATTCATAGGACCTCTGAAGTACATTAGTGCATCTCAGGTTAAGACTTGACCTCTGCTGGTAGACTAATGGAAAGTTCTAGCAGTTAGCGTCAGTATTACGTGGAAGATGAAGTTCATTCTGTTCAGAATCTTCTCCCAGTTTGTACTTGTCATGCTAGGGAATTTTCTTATTTACCTCTAATGCTAGGATCTAAGGGGAACTATCATTTTTCTGAGATGGTACATCTACAGTTGTTTAGAAAAGTCATAATTGCTGACCATAAGTGGTCTTTTATCACTAAGGTTTTGGTTCCCAGACCTTGCTGTGAACTGGATTTTGGGTGAGAGTATCCCTTATGTATGGAGAAATTACTCTTTAAAAGGAAAGCTGTTTCCTCTGTACCTGTGCCATATGAACACTTTCCTAGTGCTGTCAGCAAACAGCCACAGCCATTATTACTTACTGTGCAACAGCCTTAAGATACAGCCTTAAACTGTTTTAACTTGAATTCCTATTATTTGGAATGGCCAGTGGTCAGCCTTATACATAACAATGGTGTACATGTATTAGGATGAAATAATTGAGCAAATCCAGAATTAGGTCCAGTGTATCAGAAGTAGAATTTTTAATTACATATTTCACAAAGATCTCATCATTGCAATGTAATTGAACTTACACTTTTTCTACCCTTTCCCACATAATACAGCCAAGTTCACAGTTGTCATTGCTAGGGGATTTTAATTAGAATACTATTGCATCTTAATTAGGGATGAGGCTACCCATTAAGCTTGAAATTAATTGAATTCTCTCTAGGTTTATTTTGTGTTTACTTTTTTTTTTTCTTAGTAGAAAATTACTTTTAATTACCCAAAAGAATCATTTGTATTCTGAGTTTTATCCAAAGAAGCAGATTTCCCAAAGATCTCTCGACATGTAATACTGAATGCCTAATTCAAGCTTAATATAGTTTTGGGACTGGTGAGATAGTTCAGCCACCAAACCTGATGACCTGAGCTGGATCCCCGGAACACCCACATAGTGGAAGGAGAGAACCACTCCTTTTACAAGCACACTGGTGTGATACATGCCCCAAAGATAGTAAGTTTTAGAAAATCCAGGCATTTTGGAGGTGAGGATAATGAATGAAAATGTTAACAGATTCTCTTTCAATGAACATTACCAGGGAGGGTTCGGCTGTTACTTTCCCAAATAAGTACTAATGGTGAAAGTGGAGGGTATCTGCTACTATTTGTATGAGACTTACTGTGAGGGAGAGGTGTTTTTGTTAAGAATTGTCAGTGTAGGGGCTGGAGAGATGGCTCAGTGGTTAAGAGTATTGGCTCCTGTTGCAGAGGACCTGGGTTTGAATCCCAGCACCTACATGGTGGCTAACTGTAACTCCAGTTCCAGGGGAATCTGATGCCTTCTGACCTCTGCAGGTATTGTGCAACAACGGGTGCATGTACATACATGCAGGCAATATACTCATACACAAAAAATAAAGAATTGTGGATCTAAGTGTATGTCCACATAGTCTGTTAGGAACCATGAGGACTTAAGTTCAGTTGAGAACTCTGGTATCATGAAAAGAAAACTTGTCCTGGTTGAGACTCTTCTATCTACTTTTTAAACCTGTACCAGTCATTAAACCTCTCAGAATCCAATTGTTTCGATAAAATGAGACATTGGATTAGGTGTTTAGGATTCATTGCAATATTTGATTGTTATATTATTCATAATGAAGAGAAAATACTTTGTGAAAAGGATAATTAAAATTTATGAGAGTTTATGGGGCTGGAGAGATGACTCAGCAGTTAAGAGCACTGGCTGCTCTTGCAGAAGATCCAGGTTTGAATCCCAGCATTCACATGGCAGTTAACAACAACCATCCGTAACTCCAGTTCCAGGGAATCTGACACCCTCTTTTGACCTTCATAGGCATTGCATGACAGGGGTGCATTTACACACAAGCAATACAATCTTAGACATAAAAAAATAAATGTTAAAAAAGTTTATAAGTCCAGGTTATTTGGAGAGCCGATTACAAACTGGTTAAATGCCTGAATTTTTAAAAACTTTAATCCATTCATTACTAACTATTCATGTTAAGCTTGAATTAAGTTTTCAGTATTAAAATGTAGAAATCTTTGGGAAACTTGGATCTTTGAATAATTTTTACAAAGATTTTTTTTTCTGTGTGTGTATATCACACAGAACATCCCAAACCATCTTACTCAACTATACACCCACTTCCCAGATGGCACCCTCCCATAGCCTCCCTCCCCCCACTAGAGCCCTTATACTCTGACATCCCTGCTACTGTCCACTCTGTTGTTGGCAACCCAGACATTCCTCAGTGCAATTTCATCCACTGGGGTCTAGGCAGCCTATCTAAAGTCCCTCCCTTTAAGAAGATCAGCTTTTCCTCACCCAGAAGTAATCAGCTGCCAATAGTTCTTAGATTGGGGCCTGCTGTCCATTTCTACAGTGCTGTGCTGGGGTTTTGTCTGCTTGAATTTGCATAGGTCTTTCTTGTGCATGCTGACACCGTTGCTGTAGGTTTGTATGAACAAGGTCGCAAGAGCTTGTAGGACTCTATTGCCATATGGTTGTGCACTTCCTCCCTGGATCTTAGAATTGTTCTGCTCCTCTTCTGCAATGGTTGCTGAGCCCTAGGTGGGTGGAGTTTAATATAAAAGTCCTAGCCAAGGACCCACACTCTGAAAACTCTTATTCTCCATGCTTTGGCCATTTGTGACCTTTGTGTTCCTGGCCCTCTGTTGCATAAGGGAGCTTAATTGAGAATTGAGAGATGCATTAGTGTTCTCTCTACCCCTTGCTCTATGATCCTTCTGTTATCCTTAGGTGTGTAGGTTGCATTGTAGATGTGCCACTTGGGCTTGGGCAATTCTCAGACAATGTCTGTGTGTCACCAGTTGTGTAAATTTTTAAAAATGTATTATATTTGAGGAGGAAGCATAAAAGTTTACGTAATGTTAATTAGTAGAGGTGATGAACATTACCACTGAAATCTACCCAATGACTTTACAGACATACACAGGCGCCAAGGATCCAAGTGCAACCGATTATGACTAGTAATAGATACATACAGATTAGAGAAAAGAAGTAGGTATACAAAGAGTTATGAGTATGAAAGAGCTAGCTGTGCCTGTTTATTATCCTTATACCCTTCCCAGTCACTCAACCCTCTGAAATGTAACTTTTCTTCATTACCGAGCTTATACTGAGTTCAATATTGTATAACTGTATTAATTCAACAACAAACCTAGAAATTTTATAGCCACTTTTGAAGGAGCTGTGTCTTTTCTCTGGAAACTGTTATTGGGTATGTTAAAGCTGTAATGATATGCTTCTTCTAAAAAATAATATTAAAAAAAGATTTTATTTGTGCGTATTTGTATGTGCATGCCATGTGTTTGTGGGTGCCTGCTGGGAGAAGAGGGTGTTGAATCTCTGGGAGTTATAGGCAGTTGTAAACTGCCCAACTTGGGTGCTGGAAACCAAACTTGAGTCCTCTTGAAGAGCAGCAAGCACTCAGCTGCTAAGCCGTTTGTCTAACCCTCTTCTTTGGATAATTCTGAGAATACAAATTATCTTTTAAGTTAATTAAAAGTAATATTTTCCAAATTTGCTAAGTTTTAAAACATGTTTTTAAAAGATCAGTTTCAGGCATAGAATATTAAAAATAATTCAACATAAACGATAGAATGATAGTACTCATAGGTTTAGGGGTTTTCTTCTTTCTTCTTAAGTATGAGCCCTCTTACATTTCTGATAGTTACTGGTGGCATCTCTAATTACAAGATTATTGTTTTGGTAGAATGTTTGCCTTTGAACAAGTGCATGTTATATCTATCTATATAGATAGATAGATAAATATAATGTGTGTGTATGTGTATGCATGCACCCTGGTATAACTTCAAGGAGTCTGTTCTTTCCACCCCATGGGTCCTGGTCAGGTTTGTCTGCATGGGCATTACCCATTGAGCCATCTTCCAGCCCCACATTGTGTACTTTTTCATGAAAAAAACTGTTGCGTACACTCTAAATTTCCAGTTTTCTCCAGATTATTTCAGCTATGGGTCTGTAGTGACACCTAGTGGGTGGTAAGGATGTCAGCTTCAGTGATAAGAATGAATTTCACAAGGATTTGAAGGACCTTTGGGCATCCCAGTTTGGCCTTGCTGTCTTTTTCCTTTACTGTATTCATTGCCTAGGATCTGGTGTTTGTGGAGAAATGAAAAGGATTTCAATTTTTGTTGCTGCATGGTGAAACATGAACATTTCTGCTTATTTCATCCCCTTAATCAGAACTGTTAAGGCTAGAAAGATCTTCAAGGTACCTAATCCCCCTGCTTCTAAAATCAACTAACTGAAAGGGAGAGAAAGCAAGGGACTGATGCAAAGTCACAAATACATGACAGAACCTGAGGTTGAGGCTCGTTACCAGATTCCCAAGATTTCTACTCTCCTCTAGCATGTACTTTTGATGTTTTCTTGTTTGTTTGAGACCTTGGTATGGATGGAGTAAATGTTACAGGTAGCCTCAGCAGAGCCAGTACTGATATATGAAGGTTTCTGCTTAGTAGCAGAGGCTTGGGCCTTGAAAGAGAATCATAGAGCAGACAAATTCAGTCCAGTGTCTGTTCAGCAGTGAACATAACTGTCGTGTACAGGCAGGCAAGGGACTTCAGGAAGTCACAGTGGTCATACTATGCCTCCACGCACCTAAGATTCTGTCACTTCTCTACCAGGGTAGAAAGTTTCCTTGTGTAAGACTATACTTTTGGAAGGAAAAGAGAACTGTTAAAAGAAACTTCATACTTGAGTTTGTGGCACATAGTTTGTTTAATCCAGATTGGATACATCAGGTACAGCAGTGGCACACGACTCAGTACTGTAAATGATATACATGTTTTAACATATGCACTACAGTTTCAAAAGAAGACAACAAGAAACTTAAGAGCTTTTTTCTCCCACAAAAAGGTTTCACATGTTTCTCTTCTTGCAGTTTTGTACAGTATATTTCTTTGCCATTGTGATGTTGGTAAGCAAAGCCCAGTATTATACGAAAATAGAAAAGAACACACTTGATGTTTTTCACAATAACATTAATGGGAGAGTGTGACCTCTGAGGAAAACACTGGAATGTCTGATTATCAAAAATATACCACCCCTCCCACCTCCCAGGTTTGTAAAATAGTCCATTGGTCCAAGGACTTCCCAAGACTTGGGTCAGTGCCCTACACTGGTTGGCGTGACATCAGCCAGTGTAGTTTAAATAACCTGCTACGATAAATGTCATTCCCACACTTGATGAGCAAACATAGAACATCCTGAATAGAAAACAAGACCCATAAGGAACCCCTTTAAAAAGATGCTTTGTTTTCTGATAGCCACTTTCTCTTGGTTCTAATGATGCTTCATGATGCTTTTTGGGCTCCAAATATCATGGGTCATGACAATGCTTTTCCTTTATCCCATCATTTTAAAGCTTTGCAAATAATGAGAATTTGTTAGGAAATCAGAGAGGGAAATAAAAGTTTCGCCTGTTCCTGTTACCATGGTTACCATACCAACTAGTATAAAAGAGAAACTAATATTGCCTCAAATGAACAGTATTGGGATCCTTCTGCCTTACTTAGTTACCTACTAATTGATGTGAGGGAGCCTGAACGACTGGAATCCATTAGTAATTTCAAATCTAGTGCTAGCTCAATTTCAGCCACTACTTCTATTTTTTAAAAAAGACAAGGAAAACAATCTAGGCATATAATGCTTCCAGGTAGGTATACCTGCACTCTAACAAGAAAATGACATGATCTTGAACTGCAGGAGAAAAACAAATGGCTAAAGTCCTCGGCAGTTCCATAGGTGACTTACTAATCATGGATCATCAACTACCCTCTTTCACATCTGTTCAAATTATGTGGTTGTAGACTAATATATTCAACTGTTGTTGAGACTATCTATTGGTCTTTTGAAAGGGGTTCTGTACAGTTAGTCCTGAGCTTGAGACTAGTTAGGAAAATCAGTAATGAGAGAGAAATAATGGTTTGTTTCAGGAAGGCCTGCTGCTTCAGGGTGGTTCTAAAGGGAATGTTTACTCCCCTAATCACCACCTTTGAAATTCAGGTTTTAAAAATATGAGCAAGTCTCAGAGCCATGGAGCATTATGTAGAACACTCCCAGACATGATGTCTAAGTCCTGGATTGAATCATGATTCTGTCACTACCTTGCCATGTACCTTGGGTGAATCATTCTACTTCTTTGTGTCCATTTCTTCTCTCTGAATTGAGGACTTACTAAAGTGACCCACTACTTTCACAGATTGTAGTAAGAATTGAAAGGAAAGGTATGCTTTGAAATGTCACTGTCCAAGCCTCCTTTTCATTAAGAACATTTGATTGAAAAATCTTGACTATTCATGAGTTCACCCATTTTAGATAGAATTGATAGCTAATAGTTGGTTCTACCCAGGGAATGGTGGTGTCCAAAGTCTAATTTGTATTAGTACAGTCAGGTGATTTCCAAGGGCTATGCCCAAGTTGTGTTGACATTTACACAAGACTGTCCAGTTACGACATGGCATCTTTGATGGCTCTCCACACACACATTAACTCTGAGAGGCAACGGGTGTGCTGGATAAAACATTAGACCAGTAACCAAGGCTCTTATGATCTGGTCCCAACTCCATCCTTAAATGACTGCATTACCTTGAAGGAATCAAGTTCTCTGAACCTCAGCTTTCTATGCTGTAAAATGAATTGGATATTCTTTAATCTCTTCTAGGTCTGGTATACTATATTTCCCAAATATCCATTTATTATTTGAATGTAGCCTTAGGCCTTTAATTTTTGTCTTTTTTATAACCTCCCCTAATAGAGTGGTTTTGAGAACCTATTTATCTTATTATTTTTTAAGGTATGAGTGTTTTGCCAGCCCATATGTAATTGTATCACATGAATGAAGTGCCTGTGGAGGTCAGAAGAGGGCATCAGATCCCCTGGAACCGGAGTTACAGATGGTTGTTATCTGCCATGTGTGTACGGGGAATCAAAATCCGTCCTCTGCAAGAGCATCCAGTTAGCTGCTGAGCCATCTCTCCAGCCCCCTTCTGTTATTCTAAAATGGTTCATGGACCATGAAGCTCAAGAGTCACTGCACCAGAAAGCTGTTGGTCCCCAGAAAATTGTGGTATCCTCGTTTTTCACTCACTAGCCAATGAGTTAGACTTCTTAAGCTGATTCAGTGTACTTTTGCCACCTGTGTTTACTTACAAATACCCTTTAGCAGGCATATGACTGTGAGCTGTTTTCCTGGGTTTATATCTTTGAGCACAGGTGAGCTGTGTCCCTTACCCTGGCCAACGCTGCAGTGGGGAAATGATGATGAAGATGGTCTAATGTTCTTTTAGGAACTGGCATAGTATGGGCTTTGGAGATGAAATTGAAGCAATTCAAAGGTTGAGCTCACTCAAGTTATTAAAAATGGAATTGTTAAGGACATGATTTTTTTTTGTCTTTTTGAGACAGGGTCTCCTTGTAGCCCCAGCTGTCCTGGAACTCACTATGTAGACCAGGCTGGCCTCGAACTCACAAAGATCCGCCTGCCTCTGCCTCCCAAGTGCTGGGACTAAAGGCGTGCGCCACCACGCCCGGCCTAAGGACATGATTTTTAAAATGTATTCATTTTCATGAGAACTACAAATATGTTCTGTTGGTGCATTGTCCAGGTGACATGGAAATCCTTGGTTGAATCAGTCATCATTCCAACCACGTAATGATTTGTTCTTAGATGATGTATGGCAGTTTACATGTGAATACAACAGTATTCTTTTTTTTTAACTCTATATCCCTTATCCCACTTAGTTCTTAGATGTATAATGCACTAGACATTCCTTTGTCCCATGGCCCATCCTCTCAAAAGAAAGGTCCTTTTCTGTCTTTTACTGTTCCTCTAAAATGGAGTTCGGCTTAGCTCTCTGCCTTGACGGATATACTGTATGAAGTAAATGAATTTAAGTACCCGTTGTTGGATATGGTTTTGTGTGTGTGTGTGTGTGTGTGTGTGTGTGTGTGTGTGTGTGCATATGTATTTTTCTAAAGTTGGATGTAATGCTTTTCTGTTTTCTTACAGTAGTAACTCAAAGAGCAGGAATTACCCCATTACTATGATAAGGGGAAATCCTTGAGGCTAGACCCAGAGAAAAGATGACTGTTGTTAGTGATCCCTGCAGATAAGCACAAGGAGATAAAGATGTAAAGAAGGTTCCTTTCCTCTGCCCTTCTGCCCACTGTCTGCTTAGGTGCCACCTCAAAATGCCTTGACTTCCTCTGCCTACAGTCACTGGAGCTGGGGTCATAAGGGAGTCCCATAAGTGTTTGAAGGGTCCTCATTTAGAAACTCATCTAGATAGCTATGGTAGGCAGAGAAATTTTGAGTTGCAAATGGACAGTTTACCAATGAGCCATAGAATGGATAAGGAGGAACTCATGTATCTCAGAGCCCAGGCTTCAGAAATTGCAGTAGGTTAGTTGGGGTTGAAGAGGGTGGGAAAGGGTTCTTGTCACTAACCCCGAGTTCCATCTATTCTGCTGCAAGTTCTGCAAATGATTGGGAAGATCTCAGAAATACTATTCTGAGCCCCAATAGCAGGCATATACTTGAACACAAATCTGCCTGAATTTTCAAGAAGTAATCTTCACTCCCTCATTAACAGGGAGATGATCAATGCTTCTCTTTCAGCTGTCTTCAGAGATCAGGCCAGAAGGCACTTCAGACCTCGAGGCAGCTTTCAGACCAAGTAAGAATCATCTAGAATCTCTTTCTTGATTTCTTGCTTTGGAAGGGCATTCTTGGAGAGGCACACAGATTTAACCTTCCACAGCCTCCTAGAAACTGCCCCAGGCTGTAAGTCAGAAAACTTGGTCCCATTCCATTGTTCTTGCTGGAAGAAACTTCTCTTGGGGCCTCGGGGCAGAGCTCTACATGGGCTTTTGGGTGGATTCTGAAAGGGGTACATAGCAAGGTGCCATGGGGCTGGTGGCAGCTGCAAGCCTAGGTTCTTCAGTCTTCTCACTGGCACACAGCAAAGACGACCACTTTTCGGAAGTTGCTATTTCCTTTTTCAAGACTCAGTGTGATAAACATGACCATTCTCTGTCTCCTCTCACAGCAGACTGCAAACACCAGTGGGTCCAATCACAAGGGAAGCACCTCTGTGCATAAAGTAGACTTACCTCACCCTTAAAACCTCCCTACTTTGGCTTCATAACTTCCTCCTCTGTATTTGCATTCACTCAGGCCTGACTCCCAGGCACAAGTCTGTGGTACTTGGCAGTGACAGAGAAGGCTCTACTAGCACGTCTCAGGATCCCTGGATCCTGAGAGACAGATGGTTGGACACAAACAGCCAGGGGGAAGCACAGAGATACAGAGACAAGTGACAGACAGAGCATAAGGGTTGCTGTGTGGTTGCTTCACAGCTCTGTGCAGGTCAGGTGGGCAAGGTGGGCCCAGGCAAAGGTGACCCCACTCACCTGGAGAATGGAGAGAGAACTCAGCAATAACTGACTTTGAGCCTAAAAGCTTTTGCTATAAAAGGAGATAAAATAAAAACCAACCTCACAAAATGCATTGTTTTGGTTTAAAGATATTGGGTCCATGGAGAAAAACATTTCACAAAATCCATTGGTGATTTTGTTTTCCACCTTTTCCCATGAATAAATATTATCCATTAAGATCCTTGAAAAAGGTGCTTAAATACACAGTGTTATATTTTCTTCCTGTTTTGCATGTGACGGCTCGGCCTCTGTGCTTCTCTTGGTCTTTTGTTTTCCTCACTGGGGTCTCCAGAAACAATTGTTATTTGGTCTGAGGTGCCCCCACCAAGGCCCTATCCTGGTAAGCAGCCTACACCCCCTAACAGCCCATCCCCTACCCACCCCCTCCCTTCCTCTGGCTCCAGCAAGATGCAATGTCACAGGGCTGTGTCCACACCAGCAGCAGGAACCCCAGGTATCCTGTGCTGCCTCTTTTTTCCCCCCAGACACAAGTCTCAGTGCTAGGGGTGCAATGGGGCACACAGAAATAGTGGGAAAAGGGGAGGGAGTGGTCCCAGTGGCCACCCACCAACATGCCAGCCCCTTTTACTCCCCACTACCCCCTCTGACCCTCCGTCCAGTGATTTTACAAGGCAGAGACCTTGACGACATTGCTGGCTATGGAAGGAATGTTCGTGTTAGGGCCTGGGCTGGAAGGAGGTGGCCGACTTTCCCCTTCTGGGGTTAGAGCTGGGGGAGTGGGGATGCTGATGATGGCTGTGGTGATCTGGGATGTTTTGCAGTTTGGTCTCAGTCCGTCGTCTGCTTTCAAATTAAGGCTAGAGCGACTGGGATAGAAAAGAGAGAGTTGGTGATGGTTCCTGCTTACTGGCACCCCAAATATTCCCTGACCTCTTGCATTTCTAGCTCATAGGAACTCTATCTCTGCCTTTAGTAACCAGCTTGAAATTGCTCAGTCTAATTATCAATTACAAAGTCATGTAGCTGGGCTTTGGGATTTAGAGGGGACTTCTTTCCAGTGGTTATGGACTGATCACTTGTGACATTTGACATTTATTTTGCCTGGATGTTCTGCAACTTATTTGAAAGTGGTAGGAAATGGCTTAAATATAAACAGAGAAGAGAAGGCAAAGTCAATCTGGGATTCACACTCAGTCTGGGATAAGCCATGTATAACACAGCTAGGAAATTTATTTCCTTAGGCAAATGATCACGGTCCATCCTCTGAATTTTTGGATTCTTTTTGAGTTTATTCCCTACTACCTAACCCACTTTTGACCTAAACTGCTATAGTATCATCCAACAGCCTATGAAGGCCATTGGGTTAACTTTGAAGGATGAGAAGGAAGATGGGGATCCCACGTAGTAGATAAGGGGAGCCACTAGGGGATCCTCAAGGTCCTCCTAAGGCTAAAATTGTTTAATTCTGGGAAGAGAATGACTCAAGCCTTTGGAGATGGTGGGATGGGAGCCACCCACCTGGTGGTGAGCGAGGGCTGCTCACTGCCCTGGATGTGGATCGTGCTGAGCTCTTGCATGCTGCGCAGGCGAGTGGCTGGCAGATTAGAGTTGGGCAGGTGTGTGGTCTTCTTACTGCGACGGGAGCAGCAGGTGGTGGTGAGGCCCGAATGACTGGACAGAGAAGGACTTCTTGTGGATGGGTAGTTCTGCATTGAGCTCTCCATACAGTTCTGCTCAAACATCTGCTCATCAATAAACTCGTGGTTCTGTGGGAGGCAGAAGGAAAAGAGGTAGGAAAGAGGAGGGAGGAGGAGGGGCACAAGCCCCGTTCTCTGTATGGCTGCCTGTCTCTGTTCTGGGCCTTGAATAAAGGACTCCCAGATGCCTCGATCACAGATGGTTTTTTTTTTCCCCACAGGTATCAATAGCAAAAGAATGAAATTGGCAGCCCTGGCCATCAGACTGAAGGGTAGGAGCACAGTTGTTAATCATTATGTGTCATATACCTCATCTACAGCTTTGAGCAGAAGGTACCCAGAGGACATGGAGGGAATCAGTGGCATCATCAGAACTTGAATCAAAATGTCCTTTGTAGGCTGTGAAGCCACTGAATATGAGTCTGCTAGGTCATCTTTGCACATCTTATGAATCTTAAGGGTATGGTATAAGTTTTTAAAGGTGTTGGGTCATTCACAGAATTGGGAGGGCATTGCTTTTGAAGGCCAAGGGGGTCAAACTGCCAGGGGTATGATTTCTTTTAATTATTTTTTTCTTTTTGCCTGATTATGGCATACGGATCCTTAACTACCTGGAGGTATAGGATTCCCTATGTCAAGTGTAAGCATGGGAAGGAATGTTAACAGTCTTCTGACTGTAGGCCATGGGATGGCTTGTAGCTAAACCCAGGACAACTCAAAAATGGCTAGTTGGCCAAGGCTACTAAAATTCTATGGCGTTGTCAGTCTGGCCAAGGCTGTCAGAGTAAAGAGAAAGTCAGAGAAGTGTAAGAATAGAATTCAGAGAGGGAGCCCCTGACAGCTAATACCAGCAGTTCCCAGGGAACTGGGAAGGTGGCATAGAGAGGTGAGGCACATGGGCACTCCTTAGGAGACCGACCTTGGAGTCATGTTCCACTGCCCCCCTCCAAGCCTCTGGGGAGGTCAAAAGAGGGAATGGGAAAGGCAACTAGGTAGTTCAGGTGCAAGAGTTCTGGAAGCCTGAGCTGGTACTGGGTGTGACAGCAGAGACAGGATCAGCCCAGGAAGAATCAACAGCACATGCAGAGAACCAGACAAGGGTAAAAGGAGGAGATCCACAGACTCAAAATTCAGAGAGAAAAACATCAATTGAATTTTTAAAAAGTTATACCTTGATGGTGGAGGTTCGTACAGATAACAGGGGATCATCCACAAGATAGGACAACCCCTACAGGACAACATGCCAACAGAAGATAGAAACACCATTGATTGTACATTCCAGCATTCTCAAGCCAGTTTTGACATTCAGTCTCTCAATCCCAGCATTCCACCCTCTGAGTTCAACATTCCAACCCTTGTTCCCAGCATTCTGCCTCCCAACATTCCATCCCTTGGTTCCAACAGGAGCCTGCTGAACTCAGCAGTCACTCTTTCCATACCAACATTCTTCTTTTTCTAATCCCAACATTCCACCCCAGTGTCCCACATTCCTTCCCTAAAATCCAGCATTCCCGAGCTTTAGTCCCAACATCCCACCCTACCAGCCAACATTCTTTCCCTCAAATTCAGCATTCTACCCCTTCAATGCCAGCATTCCGTCTCTTAATCCCCCAATCCCATTTCTTCAATGCCAACATTCCAGTTCTTCAAACCCAAATACTTTTCCCCATGTCCTTCCAGTTCACACATTCCACCTAGCACATGCAACTTGGAAAGGGCAGTGGGGTCTGGGCCTATCCCGTTGGCAAGCTCAGTGTCCTTAAGAGAACTTCTAGATATGCATATATGGTCTTGATGATAAGTCTTGGGATCTGGGTTTGCAGAGCAACCTTCCCATTTGGAAGACCTCACTGGGTTCAACTTCGAAGCGTCCATAGTATCCATGTTTGGCTCAGATTAAGAGTCATCTCGCATCTGGATATGCAGTACTAGGAATTACAAAGTTCTTTTCCATAATGTGTTAAGCCCTGACTCTCAGCTTTTTGGGTAGGGCATTTCTGGAAAGGAACAAGCAAGAGGTTCACTTTGGTTTATCTATTCTGCCCCCTCCCTGCTATTCCTAGCACTTTTTGCCAAGGGTTCAGGGTTGGCCCTACTGCCCTTCCTTTCAGGATGTTGATGAGGCACAAGCATCATTCCCATTCCAGCTGTGGCACCTTATCTCCTTTAGCAATCTGCCTTCCACAATCTGAACGCCCTACAAAATTGCTGGGTGACTGAGTGGGATGGGGACTGATAAATTCTTGACTAGAGAAATATATATACTACCTCCTTCATTTACTGCCTTCTGTGCCGAGTGGAATGTAGGCACAAAGGGACCCATGGAGTATATCAACCCAGCCCTGGAATACACTCTTCTCTACTGTTCTGTGTAAGTAAAATCAGCTTGAGTTTTGCAGGATGATGCTCACTGGAACTGAGAAATGGAAAGACAGAGTTCTTAGCCTTCAGAAATCAAGGTACATGCTATGGGAGGTGGTGTTGAGGGGCGTGTGGGAGGGCTAAGGGGGTGGCCTACTCTATGCTACTACAGGACACAGCTCTGCCTCTTACTCTGGTGATCTTCTCCCACTCCCTAGGGTCTTCTTTCTGGAGGCTGATAGACATTGTCACTGATTTTTGGATCAGAAGGGGACACACTGACTTCTGGCCTAGTTTGAGGATGAGCATACAGCCTTTGGAAAAGGTCAGGGATGAGGTGGGAGGAGGCTGGGACTCACAGTGGTCTTTTCTAGGCAGTGCAGCAGATGGTGGTGCTGGCTCTCAATGAGTGAGGTGGTCTTGCCCATGTGCTCCTCTTCTGGGGTGCCCTAGAGAGAAAGAAGAGGGACTGGGTGTGAGGCTGGTGTCTTCTCCTCTCTCCAGCCCCTTCATTTTTCCACAGAAGGTAGGAAGACATGAGAAAGGTGTTGAAGAGGCAAATTTTAGGGTCAGTATAAAACATGCTGGTCTTGGGTTGGTGGCCCTTGTGAACAGCTAGTTTATGGGTAGTGGTAATAAGTATATGGGAGAGGTGTGTTTGGCGGGGATGTTTGGAAACATGTTTCCCTTAGGATATAAACTGGAGTTTGGGATGGGGGTAGTGCTGGTGCCTGTGAATGTAAAAACAAGTTTGTTTCCACCTTATCTCCTCTGTCAGGTCTTCCAGGCACCTACCGTCAGCTCCAGGGCCTCGTTGAGGAGCCCATTGCGCTTGCTGTGCAGGTAGGCATTGGAGCTTCCTGTTTTGGCCACACGGATCCTGGCAAGGCGGGCCTTCTGTGATTGATAGAGACAAACAAGAGAGTGAGGGAGATTAAGACACAAAAAGAGCAAGCCTGACAGTGAGTGGCTTCCCTGATAAAGGGGAAAAGCCTCTATAGCCTATACATCTCAGTGTCTAGATCCCAGACTGGCTCTGAGATGCTGCATAGCTCCTTTGTGCAGCTCAGCCATGTTCAGAACCCCTAGGATTCTTCACACATGTCTTCGGCCTAGATGGAGTCTTGCCAGAAGAAATACCACTTTTTCAAGTTCTCCTCTTGAAGCTTTCATGACCTTTTCTAAGTACTGCACAATCGCATGTGCAGTTCAGTTGAGTATTTCCTGTCTCTAACGGGACTACAGGGTCCCTAGAGGACAGTATGTGCTAGCTGTCCTGATTCTCTCCTAGGCTGCAGTGTGGTTGGTTCCCTGGCATTCTTTTTTCTCATAGCATTTATCACTAAGGTAGCATACTTTTTTTTTTTTTTTTTTTTTTTTTTTTTAAAAAAAAAAAAAAAAAAAAAAAAAAAGAGGACGATAAATCTTTCACTGTGATATATCAAAATAACTCTGACCTCCACATATGTATTATGGCACATACCCACACCCACATATACACACGGTAGCATACATTTTTTAAAAATATTTTATTTATTATTTTTATTTTATGTGTACAAGTGAATTGCCTGCATGCACCCATGTCGTGCAGTGCCACGGAAATCAGAAGAGGGCTTTGGATTTCCCTGGAACTGGAGTTAAGGATGGTTCATAGCTGCCATGTGAGTGCTGGGAATCGAACCTGGGTCCACTGCAAGAGCAGTCAGTGCTCTTAACCACTGAGCCATTTCTCCAGCCCGCATGCATTTTATATATTTACCTTGCTCCCATTTCTCTTCAGTGTTAGAATGTAAAGCCCTTGAGGGCAGAAGGTTTTGCTTTATTTATTGATATATCTCCAGTGCCTAGTATACAGGAGGTCCTAAATCTTTTAAATGTATCTTTAATAAATGTATTGACAAGTATGCATCTGTTTTGGGGAGTGGATCTATGCATGGATGTGTCAATATATGTCTACTATGATGTGCATGGCAGAGGAAAGGGTATAGTGTATACATAGGTGACTCCATATACCACTTTGACTTTACCTAGCCTAGGACAACCGAAACGTTCTCTGAGGAAGTCTACAGCAGAGATGGTCACCCCATAAGAGGGCTTGCAAGGTTTCCTACTTGCTGAGGGGATGAAAGAGGCTGGACACACTGTACATCCTGGCTGTCCTTTTTCCTAATGACTGTCAGGCATGGCAGCAGTATAGCAAAAAGAGAGGAACAAGAAGAGTCTGGGGCTGGAGAAGGATTCTGCTGGCTTGAGCTCTGTAGATCTAGAACCAGCTCCAGCTCTTGTGATGGGAAGCAGAGGAGCCCATGAGAGTTACAGTCCCATTCTGGGCTGGCAGACCCTCTTCCTGCCTCTGGCCACATCTGCATATAACTCTAGACTGGACTTTCCCCAGAATTCCTATTTCTTGCTACCTTCTCCCTGAATGTCTCAACTATGCTACTTGGGCTGGTTCTTTTGCTAAAAGGAGGCCATGGACTGTCAACAAAAGCACCAAGGACATATGATGTCCTGTTTCCTGAGAAGTCCCCCACTGGCTAGTATTTTCTTGCAGGGACAATTCAGCTCTTTTCTCTGGCCTTTAAAGGGAAAGAAGGGGCCAGGATTCAAGCCTGGATGATTTTCCTGTAAGTTCAAGGATGACTATTCCTATAGATGAAGAGAATGAAAAGGAGAATCTGGGGGAGAAAGGCTAGCAAGTCAGCCCTGTCACTACCCTCTCTAGCAAGGAGCACTGACTAGTAGAAGTCCCTGATGATCCTTCCCAGGGACTGGCTGGTGACTAGAAGTTTATATCCAAGTTCCTCATCATTCAAGTGGAGGTGGCTACTATACCTTTGGGTGAGGGCTAGGTATTGAGAGCTGTATATGGAAATACAACTGTGTCAAGCTCATTATAGCCTTATATAATCTGATTGCACTACTTAGAACCAGACCTTTCTCATATCTGGGGTCTGTCTTCATTACTTACTAGAGATGAAAGATTCTCCTGGTTTCCTTTGTGGCACTTCTTTTAATCTTATCTTACTCTGGGCTCTATTAAAGCAATAGACTGTCATATCAAATGTGCCATACCATTTAATCATGTCATAAACAGGACAAAGAGGCTTGAGATATATTTACAGAACCATATCTGGCATATGAAATTGGGTAGTGCTCTCTGGCTTGGTTTTGTGTTGCTGAAGGCCAGGGCCTGGGACTTATGTGCTTTTTTATCTTTAGCATCCAGCACGGGCTCTGCACTGAGCAGGAATTCAAGCAAAGCTTGTGATGGCCAAAGAAGGAGGATGATCAAGCACAGTTGGTGGGAAGCCTGTGTTTATAAAGCTGTTGTAATGGGCTCAGTCTTTGTGTGAACTGGTCAACTTCCACTCTCCTCCATGACCAGAAAGACACTGTGAAAGTTAAGAGAGTTTAGAGGCCATCTAGTCCATTTCAAAGACAAAATAATAAATAAAATAAAATAAAACAGATTGCATGAGGGACAGTACTCAGCCAGGGCAAGGGAGCAGACAGCAAGCTTTCAGTTCATGTCTTCCAACTTTCAGAACAAATACCGCTTCCAAGCACTCTCCCTCTCCTTCCCTGAATTCACATCCTTTCATGCATGTTTCTATGGAGAATCAGGGTTGGAGGAGAGATCTGGGAGGATACTGTCAATCCTACATATGACCAGCCACCATCGCTAATCAAGACCATCTCTCTGTCAATCCCAAAGGGGCCTGGCACATCACACATCAGATTTCCTAGCTGTTGGACTGGCAGCCATTTTGACATGAGTGTCTGCATCTCTTGCCCTAAAAGAAGCAAGGAGGAGGATATGGGGGAAATGAAAATGCAGGCAGCTGCACACTCAGGCATTTATTAAAGAGACGATAAAACTTATGTTGATATAAACACTTATACAAGAATGTTCACAGCACTTTATTTATAATAACTGAAAACTACTCCTCCCAGATAGTCTTTCTAGGTAAACAGCATACGGAATACTACTCAGCAATAAGTGGACTTTTGGAATATTTTTATTTTATTTAAAATTTTTGTTTATTTACTTTTATTTTATGTGTTTGAGTGTTTTACTTGCAGGTATTATACCCATGTTGTGCAATGTCTGCAATGGGTAGAAGAGGGCATTGGATCCCCAAGAGTTGGAGTTACAGGCAGTTGTTAGCCACCATGTGGGTTCTGGAAACCAAACCAGGGTCCTCTGTAAGAGCAGACAGTGTTCTTAACCACTGAGCCATCTCTCTAGGCCCATTGTTCATGTTTTTATTTTTTTAATATTTTATTTATTATTTTTAGTTTATGTGTATGAGTATATTGCCTGCGTATATGTGAGTGCACTCATGTTGTACAATGCCCACAAACGTCAGAAGAGGGCGTCAGATCCCCTGGAACTGGAGTTATGGACAGTTGTTAGCTGCCATATGGGTGCTAGGAACTGAACCTGAACCAGGGGCCCCTGCAAAAGCAGCTGGTGCTCTTAACCACTGAGCCATCTCTCCAGCCCTATGGTTTGTTTGTTTTTTTTTTTTTTTTTTTGAGACAAGATCTTGTTAAGTTACCTAGCCTGACTTTGAATAACTCTGTAGTGCAGGTAGGCCTTGAAATTGTGTTTTCCCATCTCAGCCTCTTGAACAGCTGGAATTCTAGGCTTGTACCTCCAGGCCCAGCAGAAGGTGACTATCCATATAATTTGGATTAGTCTCCAGGGATTATAGGGAATAAAAAAGGCCAATCCCCAAAGGTTACCAACTATATGGGTCCATTTATGTTTCATTTTAAAATGAAAACATTTTATAAATGGAGATCAGATACATGGTTGCCAGGAGTTAAGGGGGGTAAAACTATATCAGGGGTGTGGTCATAGAGGAACAACAGGGGTCCTTGTAGTATGGAAACTGGGTAGTCTGGGTCATGAGAGACTGGGGTGGGTCTGCAGGAACCTGCACGGGTGAGGAAACAGTAAAACACTCACTCGGTTACAAGAAACCCGGGGTAATTTAGAGCAGGAGGCTTGTCCTTGTGTCCATACCCTGTGTGTACTACATAATTTTATAAAATGTTACCATGGCACAAAACTGGGCAAAATACATAAAGGGTCTAATTTTTTCACAACTATATGTGATTCTATAATTATTTCAATAAAATATTCCATTAAAGTAAAGAATATGGTACTGGGGATGTAGCTCAGACAGAACATTTGCCTACTATGCACTGGCCCTGAGTTTAATCCCCAGCACAACAAAAATAAAAATGGGAATGGAACAATCTCCCCCAAGTCCAAAGACTATGGACAGAAGTAGACCTGGCGATGACTTCCTGATGTGCCATTGGATGCTGCTACTGGATATCCATAGCTCACCTCCAGCTGGCTAAGCCAATCCTTCAATAAGCAAACCAGTCTCCACAAGTAGGAATGATGAAACTAACTTATTTCAGAGCCTCTACTGCAAGGTACATGGGCTGGAGTTTACTGCTGTGGCCACCATAGCTCCCAGGAACAGTTCTGGGCTGAGGACCATTAGCTTCCTGACATCCTCCCTGTCCCTCCTTCACCAAGTCCCCTGGGCCTGCCTGCCTTGGCTCACCATGACAAGCTGAGTGCTGGAAACAGACAGCATTGTTTCTTTTCCTCTCACAGGAAGCCCAAGGTGAAAGAGACAGAGCTGAGCAACCTTGAGGAGAAACAGTATCCAAGCTAGGCAAAAGCACTGTAAATATTTACTCTTACTTCAAAAGGATCCAGAAAGGGAGCAGGAGGAGAGGCTCATCTTGAATAGCTTAGAGGGAGGAAAAAGCCAGCTATCCCTTTTGGATTTTAAGCACACACAATGAACTTTATACTTATAGACTATGGGAAACATCCACTATTACATATTTTGCAGATGAGGTGCTCTGAGAAGTAGGAATAGGTCTGGGCAGGGAGGGGCAGGTGGCTGTAGAACACAGCCACTTCTGGATGGCTATTATCACCAGTGAGCCCAGCAGCTCTATGAACCCCACCCACTGGGTGAAAACCCGAGTCTGGCTAGCCCAGACTTGGAAAGTGTGGGGCAGTGTGTGTGCCATAGGATCCCTGGCCCTTGGGGCCTTAAACTCCTGGGTTTGGATATGAGAACCCAGTTCCTTTCTGCCCCTCTATTAAGAACTGCATAATGAATTTAGTCATTGTTCACATTTGTCAGCTGACTTGAGCAGGGAGAGATAAGACTTTCATTTCTGCAGTGGCTGGCCATGGATGGGGTCAACCTTGACCTTGAGTGAAGAGCTAGAAGACAGATGCTAGGGCGGGGGGCAGAGAGAACACCAGAAGAAAAACCTTAAGGGTGACATTAGAGACCAGGCACAGGTAGTAGAGAACAGGACGGTAAGGAGAAGTGATACAAGGACACACAGAGGACATAGGTGCGATGTGGGGACAAAGTAGGGTTAGTATATATTATATACATTGTGTATATTTTTCTATACATTATTGTATGTAAAGTCTTGTGCAATCATTGTTTGGAGTTAGCTTAAACTTGTAGATCTGTTACAGTCAACATACACAGATCTATTCTGAGGTTCTAGGTTCCCCTATCCAGTATAAAGCTCTGCTAACTAGGGATTATTCCCGTGAGTGGGAGCAAATAATTCAGTTACAGGCCCAATACATAATAAGTGCTTAATAAGTGCTTGTAGAAGAAATAAATGAAAAAAAAAACAATAAAACACAGAGACCAAAATCGTGTCCTCTCTAAGCCTAACTTTCAGTAAGGCACCCTCTTGTCCTTTGTGAGACTCTGACCTTACCCCCTGGAGGCTGAGAGGTTGCCTGAATTAACAAGGAAATGGAAACATCCCCTCAGCTATCTTTTCCCTGGTAGGAACTTTGATGGTTAGTCTTTGTCAACTTGATTAGATTTAGAATCGCTCAGGAGATCAGTGAGGCTCACTTTTGAGTGTGTCTTTGAGGGTGTTTCTGGAATTAATCAGTGAGGAAGGTCCACCTTGAATGTGGGTGACATCATCACCTGGGCTGTGGGCTCAGATGGAATAAAAGGAGGATAAAAAGGAGAAAGACAGTGCACAGCGGCATTTCCTTTCTTTCTGCCTCCTTTCTAAGAGGCAGGAGCATGCTCCCTCCTGCTGCCACAATGTTTTGAGGTCAAGTTGACTGACTGATTGATCTTCCTGAAACTGCCAACCAATACAAATCTTTTCTCCTTTTAGTTGTGTATAGCAGGTATTTTGTCACAGCGATGCAAAAGTAATTAACATAGGAATCCTGGTAGAAGTCATAGCCAGGAGCCACATCTGGAAGATGCCTTAGGATTGGTGGAGAGGATGCTTGCAGGCTAAATGCAGTAGATGCTTTTCCCACACACCCCAACTGCAGATATCCTGCTGGGTGTGGGCTGATGATTGTATTTCACTTGTCATCTAAGTATAGACTGGGCATAACTGAAAACTTTCCCCAGGCCTGCTGGTGACTCTCTGGTCATCAGTTGAGTTCTGTGACTTTACGTGGCGCCCTGGTGCTTACTAACATCTGATGTGCCATTTGACCCAGAAATCAGTGACTTCAGAATGTTCTTTCAGTGTTCATTTTTCTTTTCTGCACATTTATTTTTGTCACTAGATTTTGTATAGGCCATTACAGGATATTAATATAAGAGGCTGTTGGGTGGCCATGGCCAGGGGAGTGAAGTGGATGGAGCCTATTGGCCAGTTCAATAGGCCATCCAAAAGGAGGACAATCAACTTATGGATAAGTGAGGGTTTGTTGAATGTTTCAGCTGATTGGGGCTAGAATTCAGGACACTGGAGGGTAGGAAGGGACTTGAAATTGTGTTCCTTTTCTAACCCAGAGGGAATCTGTACAAGGATCCAGGGCTGGCAAACCTGCCTCAGCCTCCTACCCTTTCCCCTCTTTCCTGCCCCCATCCCCATGCCTATGGCTTACCTTTTGTGCCCTGCGTTTATCTGCTCTCTGATTCTGGTGGTAAATCCTGCTAAAGTTGGAAACAATCACAGGGACTGGCAGGGCAATGACCAAGACGCCACTCAGGGAGCAGATGGAGCCGAAGATCTTTCCTGCTATGGTCTTAGGCACCATGTCTCCATATCTGAGAGAGAAAGAGAGAGGGAGGGAGGGAGGGAGGGGGAGAGGGGGGAGAGAGAGAGAGAGAGAGAGAGGCTATTTAGAAACAAGTCAGATTTCCCATCCGTCCATCCATCCATCCATCCATCCATCCATCCATCCTTCACGGTGCCAGAGACAAAATCCTTGTGTTCATGGAGTCAACTTTCTATAAGGAGGGCCACACACAAGGAAGTGAACACATTAAAAAACTGCGGCACGTAGCAGTTTCTATGAAGAGAGCAGGGGTAGATGCTACGGCAGGTAGTGGGAGTGCGGTCAGGAAAGGCCTCACTGAGGTGAGATCTGGAGGCAAAGTTTACAGCCTGGGCAAAGGTCAGAAAGTACAGGCCCCTCAGTAATATGAAGGAACCTGTTCCAGGAACTGTCAAAAGGCCAACAGGGCTGGACACCAGGAGGGAGGACAGAGTCATACACAGGTAAGAGTTTAGGAGGTAGGCAGGGCCCAGAGCATGCACCCCCCAGCTGTGGTGAGGGGTTATGGATCTCATTCCAAGCACATGAGGAGCCATGGGTGAGTTTTAAGCAGAAGAGCAACAGGATCTCATTTATGATAGTGAAGATAACAAATAACAAATTCAGTTTCTGTGTGGAGGTTTATCACTTACAAAACCCTTACAGATTTACTTCACATAAGTCTTTGAGCCCCCTGAGCTTCAAGTTCTTTGCCCTGTTGTACACATGTAGAACAGGGCTTGAAGACCTTACATAGATTGGCCTTTCCGTAGCTGGGATAAAGCTTAACTCTTGCTTTTTTTTTATTTTAAAGATTTATTTATCTTATGTGTATGAGTGTTTTACCTGCATGTATGTATGTGTGCCATATGCACATGCCTTGTGCCGGTGGAGGTCAGAAGAGGGCATTGGCTCCCCTGGACCTAGAGTTAAAGATAGTTAGAAGCCACCATGTGGGTGCTGGGGACTGAATTTGGCTCCTCTGCAAGAGCCTCGTTAGCCATGAAGCCACTTTGGGACAGTGCCAACCTCCTCTCAGCTTAAAAAACTCTTTAGTGCTTCACATAGTGGCTGCTGCCTCCTGGGACCAGTACGGCCTGGCTCTCACTTAGCCCTGGGCAGGCTGGCCAGAGCCTCTCCCTTTTAATCAATAAGATGTTCTCCACAGTGGTTAAGTGTTTAGCCTCCTCTTTATTGAGATAATTTAAAGGCCTTGTGAAGGAAAGGCCTGTGATAATTCCTCTGGCCAAAGCCAGGGATACTGTCTTGTTGCCCTGAACCCTCTGCGTGTCAGCAGCAAAAACAGGCTTTGCATAATCAGGAATATTTGCTGCTAAAAAAGTGAGACTAAAAAGGCACTGATCCTGAAGGGACTCAGGTGTCCTAGATTTCCAAAGAGGATATGGAAGGAGATGGGTGGGCTGTGTCGGAAGCCTGAGGGCCTGAACCCCTTGAGGGCTCTATGGACAGGGCAGGGTTGACAAATATTGGGTGAATGAATGAATGATCTCATGTAAGCCCCTCAAAACCTGGTAGGTAGGTTTTGGGAACCATTTTCCTTCTCAGTGTCCAGGGCTCTGGGTTCTGACTCAAGCTGCCCCAGACATGCACTACGATTAAGACCTACTGGGCTCCTTTTGGCCTTGTGTGCCTACGTTTTCCTTTCTATCCTTGATACTCAGGAAAGACTTCTGGTGGGGAGGCTGAGAGCTTAGGTTCTGTGCTAAGATAATAGGAGTTAAAGACCTACCAAGCCCACCATTAGGTAACTATATGATTTTGGGGGAATGCTGCTTTGGGCTTTGGTTTCCTTGACAAGGAAGTGAAGATTGCAAGAGAAACCAATATTCTAATAGTATTGTGTCACATGCAGCCCATAAACATTAAACATGCTTGCTTTTCCCCAGGCGTTCTGGAAGCCATTGTTTCTGTGGGTGGGGAGTTCTTAGAACTAGTTAATGAGCTCACATTCACATAATCCCAATGATGGAGAAGAACAGCTGCCCTGATATATATGGTGTTAGCTGGGATTCTCAGAGGATGCGACTGAAAAGGTTCCCAGAGGCCCATAGCCATGGATGGAAATGAAGGATGGCAGGAGGATGGAAGACCAGGGCCAGGAAAGCTGTGTTTGGGAGTGGCCGAGGGCTGTTGAAAAATGCTAAGGAAAACATGGTAGTTGCTTTAAACATCTGAAGAAAGAACGAGCTCGACCCACTGCTGGGCAGATGGTCTGAGGGAGCAGATGACAGTGGGAAAACACAACTCCACTCCCAGAAGCTTCTGCTTTCTCTGCTGAGAGGAACGCGTTTCATCTGGGAAAGGCTGGGGCTGATGCTGATGGGAAGGCTCTGAGCTTGAAGTCTGGGAGGGAGAGTGGGCAGGGGCCCAACAGGACTCAGTGGACTCCCAACAGAGGTGCATGTGGCCCGTACCCTGGAGAATGGAGGGAGTACAGGTGGGGCTGCTGAACCACTGCCAGTGATCTCTGAGATCTTACTGCAGCAGAGAAACAGCAAGAGATTAAAGATGGAGAACTGTTTTGTTGATATTTTTAAAGAAGGAAGGAGGGCTGAGAAACCACAGACCAACAGGCTTGGCATCCATCGTTCTGCCATGAGATCATTGGCAGAATATGAAAGCAGATTATTAAGCGGACAGCTTGTGAACACTTGGAAAATAAGCTGTATTTGGTTTGCTATGCACACATCTTACCAACTTAACCTTATTTCCTGTTTGGAGAGTGAGGTTAACTGGCTGGCAGATCAAGAGATGGTTACAGACCTATTGCATTATGACTCTGCAAGATGCATTCCTGTCCCAGTTCTCTATGCCCTTGACATGCTGGGGGAAGGTGGTGTGGATGTACTGTGGTTAGTAGGGGCCGAGTAACCACTTCTAGTCTTCTGGAACTTCTTCAGCATAACTAACAGTTGGTCCTATGCTGGAAAAGGAAGTGCAAAGTTCTCCTGCTAGGAGGGTATCCTTTAGTGAAAGGGTAAACATAAATCAAATAAAGGAGGGATCTAAAGTTAGGTCTCTGGTGGTGTGTTCCAGAATTTTTTAGCAACTTGTATAAAGCCAGAGGGAGGCAGCATGGCCTAATAATTGAGAGAAGAGCTGGCATCAAACTGGGTTTGCACCCTGAGCCCATATGACTCACTACCTAGTTAAATGACCCTGGTCAATTTTTTAACCCAAGCATGAACAACCTATAAAATGGGTTTTATATCTCCAGAGCTGTGATAATAATTCAGAAAAAAAATACATTTAGTTCAATGTTTGGGCAACTGTAAATCGTCTGTAAACAGCTAGTGCGGTAAGCCCCTGTTATTTTTCTGTTCATCATCTACCCTGTGCCCCTCACTCACCAATATGACATAAACTCTGTCTAGAGAAGCTGCCAATCCCATACACTGGCTGCTCTGCCCCTACTCCCTCTGGCCATAGGAAGTTTCAAAATAAGGCATCTGACCTAGCTAGATCAATACTGAGTTCCCATTGGCTGGAGATATGGCTCAATGGTTGAAAGCACTGGCTGTTCTTGTAAAGGACCTGGGTTCAATTTTTAGCACCCACATGGTAGCTAACAATGGTCTGTAATTCCAGTTCCAGGGGATCTGATGGCCTCTTCTGGCCTCCATGGGCATTGCATGCATGTGGTGCACCCATATACATGCAGGCCAAACACTCATATACATAAAATAAGAATACATAAATAATAAAAATAGAGTTCCCATCCTAGATTTATTTATTTATATTTTTGAGATACTTCTATTTTATTTTATTTTATTTATGTGTGTACATTTGTGTCTGTGTGTGGGTATGTACACATGAGGACAATGTCACAGAGGCCAGAAGAGGGTGTCGAATCCCCTGGAGCAAGAGTTACAGGCAGTTGTGAGCTATCCTACACAGGTGCTGGGAACTGAACTCAGGTCCTCTACAAGAGAAGCAAGTGCTCTTAACTGCTGAGCCATCTTGCCAGCACCCTAGATTTATTTTTTTGACCATTTCGTTGAGGTACGTACGGTTAACACGTTTAAGTCAACCATTTAAATTGTACATTTCAAGAGCTTTTAGTGTACTTCCCCAGTTGTGTTCCTACCACCCATAGCAGTTGAAGTTTGTCTGTTTATTTATTTACTTATCTATTGATTTCTACTGGGAATCAAATCCAGGGCTTTGTACGTTCTAGGATATGCTCTACCTTTGAGCTACACCTGTAGTTTCTAATTTTAGAGTATTTTCTTTCCTTCCCTTCTTCCTCCCTCTCCCCTTCGCCCCTTCTGTCTTTCCTTTCATCTTTTTTCTTTCTTTTGTTTCCTTTTTTTTCTTTTTTTTTTTGCTGAGGACTGAACCCAAGGTCTCCTGTATACCACATAAATGTCCTACCACTGGGCTATATCCCAGCCTTGGAACACCTTATAATGCCCCCAACCCCCCACATTCATTATCAGACCGAGATCACTCACATTCCACTGATTCTGTCTCTAGAGGTCCCTACTTTGGACACTTCAGCCATGAATCATAGAACACAAGGCTTTTTGTGTATGGCTTCTTTCACTCAGTATGATGTTTTCAAGACTCATCCATCTGATAGTATTTATCAACACTCCTTCACTCCTTTTATGCTTCAATAAATACTTGATTGTGTGGCTAGGACACATTTTGTTACTTGATTCATCAGCTGAGAGACATCTGAATCGCATCCATGTTTTACCTATTAGGAAGAATGCCACTGTGAACACTTGTGTGCAAGCTTTTGTGTGACCATGTTTCCTGTGCTAGGAATCATATGGCAGTGTTCCACAGTTTGAGGTACTGCCAGACTTTCTACGGCATGCCATTTTATAGCCATTATCAGTGATGAGTAAGGGGTGCAAAGTTTTCTTATCTAAGATAACATGTTATTTTCTCTTTGTGATGATGGTTATTGTGGTGGATGTGAAATGGCATCTTTCGAAGTTTTGATTTGCATTTTCCTGATGGCTACTGATGTTGGCGTCT